GATCCCGTATAGGGATTTTGTCAGTTGGCATATTTTCGTGGGGTCGTTGATGAATCCGTGGGGTTGTTCGACGAAAATCTCAGCGTCCACAGGTGCGTATAGGAACGCATTCGCGACGTCGATTTGGCGTAGTGGTAATGTCTTCGTGGCCGCGACGGCGAGTAGGATGCGTAATGAGGTGTGACGGGAGACTGGAGCGAAGGTTTCTGTGTAGTCGGTCCCGTATCGTTGATCGAAGCCTCGTACGACCCATCGAGCTTTGAATCGTTCGATGGAGCCGTCTGAGTTGGTCTTAATGCGGTACACCCATTTCCCCGAGAGGACGTTTTTTCCGTTGATGCTTGTTGCAGGTACCAGTTTCCATGTTTTCCGGTCTTGCAGAGCCTTTAACTCCTTTTCCATCGCTTCCTTCCATTTCGCCTTATGTTTCCCCCCCAGAGCCTGCGACAAGGTTGAAGGCTCTCGCGGAGAAGACGGCGGCGGATGCTGGACGGAGACCCAGAGGCCTAGAATCTGCAGTCCCGTGGGTGTGTGTCGAGGGGAATCTTCATTCCCGGAATAAGCTGCTTCATCACCGTCTTCTGGGTCAGGTAAGAAGTTGGGACCGATGCGTTCTGAAACATTTGTCGACTGGGTGGGGTGTAATGTAACCTTGGTCGGCGAAGTGGTAAAAGGTGCGAGGTTGTTGCTATCGAGAGGATTTTCTTCGTCGAGTGGAACAGGTACGGAACAGAATGGGAGTGGTCCGGCAGCTTCCGAGGCTTCAGGTACGTCTTCTTCTGCTGCGTCAGCTTCGGCGGCACGGTCGGCGAAGGAACGAAGTCCCGAGAAGCCGTCGGTGGGGTCTTGTGTGTTGGCAATGTTGTCCAGGTAATGCTGCAGCGTCAGTCGCTCGTAGAAAATAACATCACGTGATGCCACGGTATTTTTGTCTTGTATGTCGAGAATTTTCCACGCGTGAAAATGTTTTGCGATGCCGAGGTGTAGTCCCCACCTAGCTCGTTGTGTGAAGCGTCCTGCTCGGGCTGTGTGGGGTCTGTACTGTACCATGCAGCCGAAAACTCGGAGTAATTTTGTGCTGCCCCTTTTTCTTGTCCACAACAGGTGCGGTGATGCGTTGTTGAGAAGTGATGACGAGGACAGTAGGTTGTGCAGGTGAACGGCATGTGTCATTGCGTCTGGCCACAGTGTGGTGGGCAGCCTCATCCCCAGAAGCATTTTTCGCATCGTCGTCTGCAAGGTCCGGTTCATGCGTTCTGCTACCCCCTGCTGCTGGTGAGCATAGGGCAGAGACACCAGGCGTCGGATTCCTCTTTCCGCCAGATAGGTCCTGAAGCGTTGTGACTGGTATTCCAGTGCACCGTCTGACTGGAAGCTCTTGAGCTTGGTTCCTGATTCTCGTTCGGTGATGGGAAGCCATGTGGTGAAGGCCTCGAAGGCTTGATCGCGCGTTTTGAGGTTGAAGTGCCAAACGTATCTGGTTGCTGCGTCGATGAACGTGATGACGTAGTTGAAGTCGGCTTCGGTGTCGTCTCGAGGCATGTTTAAAATGTCGCTGTAGACCTTTTCCATCGGAGCGTAAGTAGGTGCGCTTGGGTTATGATGAGATGGGAAAGGTTGATGAGGAAGATCTGCTTCGGGGCACGTGAAGCACCGTGCTCGTGGTCGTCGAAGTTCTTGGCCGCTCGTTGTTAGAAGGGCGTTGCGTTCTAACACCTCTGCTTGGATTGTTTGTAGTATCGTGCTGTTTGCAGGATGTCCGAGACGTTGGTGCCAGATGTCGTCGGAAGCGCGATGACCGGGCGAGCGGTGGTAGATGTCGGCGTTGGAGAAGAACGCGACGACTGAGGCGGGACTTCGACAAACTTCTCGTGTGATTGGCATAAGCTGGTCTGCTTCGGTTGGCGGTCCTCGGGTCGCTGGTGGTGGGACTCGGCTGGGTCCTGCTGCCGATACTGCAGGTGATGGTTTGGTTGGGATACTTGCAGGTACTTGTCTTTCTTGTCTGATAACTGCTAATGCTCGTGTTCTCTCTGCTGCAGGTATGGTGTTGGAGTGCCAGAAGCCGTCACTGTCGAAGTCAGGATCAAGATCTGGCGGGTGAGTCCAGGCGGCGAACGATACGATACCGTCGCTGTCGGCAGTACCGCGGTCGGGGACGAAGTCCAACACGAAGACGCCGGACTTCAGGAGGGCACGACCGATGAAGAGGCCGCCCTTCCCGTGGTAAAGCCGAAACTCGTTGGAGTAGGAGTCGCACTCCAGGTGAATCCCTTTGGCCATTAGTTGGCTTACGCTTAGTAGGTTGTATCCCAGATTGTCGACAATGAGCACTTTGTTGAGCTGAAGTATAACGTTTGTCTCCATGGATTGTAACTGAACCACGCCTTGTCTGTTTGTCTTCAGGTTTTCGTTGTTGGCGACGGTGATGACGACGTCGCGTTTGAGGCGTTTCTCCTGTTGTACGAAGCGTCCCGAGGAGCACATGTGTTGACCGCAGCAGCTGTCCAAGAACCAGGTGTTTCGCCCGGTGGGTTCGGCGTTGGCGACCGCAGCATATGTTGGATTGACTTGAAGGCCTTGTGAGCGCGGTGGCGGCAGCTCTTCTTCATCTGGCGCGTAGGTGGGTGGTGATACGGGTGCGCAGTTGTCGATGTGTACCATGCAATTGATAATGTTTGGTGTTTGTTGTGCAGATGTTGAAGAGCGCCTTGGGGAACTTGCTTGAGTGGAAGCGACTTGTGGGTCTGCTGGACGGTAAACGCGAGGGCGGTTGCAGTTGACCTTGGAGTGTCCGGAACTCTGGCAATTGTGGCAGAACGGCGGCACGAAGGTAAGTCCCCTGTTGTCGCGTTCTTGCTTGCCGCGTCGATTGTAGGTGTTGTCGTTTCTTCGTTGAGTGTAGAAGACTAACTGCTGTTGCTTTCTTGGTTGTCTTTCTTCGAACAGGTCCATCTCCTGTTGTTCAGCGTGAATCTCGGCGCAGAGGTGCATCTCCGAAATCCTTCCGTGGGCGCGAAGAAGCGATCGTGTGGTTCTCCATTCTGGCCCGAGCCCGGCGAGGACAAGTGTCACGAAGCTTTCTTCAGTGATTGTTCCTCCGCACCGAAGCAGGCGGTCGCGGAGGGTCTGGCAGCGACTCATATACTGCATCGCCTTTTCCCCGGTCTTCATCTGTATTGTTGTCAGTTGTTGCATGAGTCTACTTTGTGTCACGCTGTCGTTTCCTTGGTAAAGGCACTTGAGATGGTGCCATGCGAGCTCCGCGGAGTTTCCATAGCTCCTGTATGTTCTGATGCTCTGCTGTTCTTGTGGTGACAAGTTTCTCAGGAGAACCGTATACGCCAGCAGCGACTGATACGTGAAGATCTCTTGTTCCTTTCCAGTGCCGTTGCTTGGGAATGGCAGGGACCCGTTGAAGTATCCCAGAAGATGCGCGGCCTCCATCAGCAGCTCGAACTCGAAGCTCCATGTAAAGAAGTCGTGTCCGTTGAACGGTGAGGATGTCTGCAGTTTTATCACGTGCGAGAACTGCGCCTGGAGACTTAAGATTTCGTTTTGTGTTTGTTGTGATGCAGCTGCTGTTGGTTGGGCACGGGGCGGCATAAACTCGAACGTCCCCGGTGAGGAGTGATAAGGTGCAAAGGTTGGCGCTTGATTGTGTCGTCCAAACGATGAGTTGTCGAGGCTCATCGGCGCTAATCCCATGTTTCCTCCATTGCTTTGTGTTGAATGTGCAGGTGTCCTTGTCTGCTGCTGCTGGTCGAAGTGCGACATGAAGCTGAAGAACCTTTCCATAAGGTTGGGGTCCACGCCTGAAGAGGGAGATGGAGTCACCATCTCTGGTACTCTTCCCGTTGTTTCTTGAGCAGTCCCGGTCTCTGTCTGCAGTCCTGAGGTGTGCAGACCAGAGTTGCCGTGTTGAGTTTCTTGGCCGCTGGGTGAGCCCGTAGAGACTTTCTTGCCCTTGCTGTCCATGTCTTGTAATCAATGAAGTCGTTGAATTGAGTTGAGTTGCAGGTTGTTGATGGAGCGTAGTTGCTGGGAGTTTGGTCTCTGACCAGCTCTCATACCATATTGGGCTGAGAAAAAGCCCTTAGGATCCTTTTGCAGAGACTAAGTTCCAGTTGTAGAGACTTTGAGACTTTGAGATGTGCAGCGGAAGTTGAAGCAGTTGAACCCTTGTACTAGTATGTGAGAACAAGTGATTGATTAAAGAAACAAGCATACAGCAATTTATAGAAGATAGGAAGGCAGTTGTAGAATACAGTTACAGGATCGGTTTATCGAGTCGCACAACGATTCGATTGCCGCTTCGGTTACCATCCGTGATGTTGTAACGGTCAGTCGCAACCTCCAGTTGCGACCTTTCGAGTCTTTTCGCATTTTTTGTCCGCCCCCTCGTGTAACCTCCGTTGACTCGCGTGCTCCCCTGTAATCTTCCTCGAGTACAGTGTTACACTTCAGAAACGCTCAAGTCCTTTGAGATATTTCCAACAGCGACTCAGCGTCCAACAAGGTTCGTTACTAGTGGGAGAGTGAGGGAGATGCTCGAGCTGGACGCCTGCAGATAAATGGCCTTCGCACTCAACTGCACCCTTCAGCGGTGATTCTAGAGTTTCCTATAAATCCTCCTCGCAAAAAGAATGCCTGTCGAAAGCCGCTCATGCCCATCCCTCGCGCCCTAATGCCTGGATCTCTCCTTGCGCTAACCCGAATTTTGTGAACTGAAAGTGAGCCGTTGTTCCCCCTGAAGTCGTGAATTGCCATGTTGGTCACGGCGACAGAGAGTCCGCATGGTGGAACCCGACAACAGCCTGAAACCACCGTAATATGGCAGCTCGGTAAGTCTAGTAGGCAAGGTATGGAAGGTGTTTCACATTGGGACATGCAGAACTGAGTCATCCTGTTGAGACAGTGCAACTGGAGTAACCTAGGGGATTGGGGTTCTGGTACTCGTTATTGTAAAAGGAATAAACTGCATGGACAGTCAATCAAGAAGCACTACTGGGTTTAAGCACTTGTCAACTGACTCCATACGGTTCCGAAGTTGTAAATAAAGGAACTCTCTCAAAATGCAAGGGGTCTTTTTGAATGCGTAGCATCGAAGGAAATTCCCACGATGAGATGATCACAAATCAAATTACAACACCACTTTCTTCTCCAAGGACTGCCCACATGACAACTACCCACTAAGCAATCTACTACCACGCATTCAACTGTCTGGAGTTAGGCTGTTTTGAACCATCTGCATGAAGAACCTCGGGTTACAACAAGGAAAAGATCAGCACAAATGGATGAAGGGATGAGTGGGTGGGACATGTGATTGGTCACCCATGCCACAGCATTGCTTTGCCGCACAACCTCCATCTATAAGTCCATGGCACATGTCAGAACCCCAACACTGCCATTCAGTGTGCAGTATGCCACCACAATCATCCCAAATTCATCAACATGCATGTAAGATCTGCACAACACCATCGCCATCACCATCACCATCACCATCACCATGCCATCGGCAACATCATAAACACATAACCACCCTAACAGCATCCCATACCAACATCACCACCACATACCACCATCACCATGTCACCCATCACGAATCCAAGTCACTCCACTGCTTCCATCATCATCTGATCCTTCTCACCCTCAACAAGCCACCATTAGCAAGAAAAAAACCAACATGCCATCATTGCCATCCACCAACTAGAGATCCAACTCTCCCCATGGCTTCCATAACTGTCACCATCACCACATCCACCCACCAGAGATCCAAGCCTCCCCATCGCCTGAATGACAGCCGGATTCTCCTCGTCCTCATCAAAACATCAAGAACAGATTAAAAATATGCCATAGCACCATACCGCCAGAGCAGCATCCGCATGCCACCCACCAGAGATCCAAGCCTCTCCATCGCTTCCATGACTGTCGGATCCTCCTCGTCCTCGTATCCAACCTGCAAGGGTGTAGGGGCACAAGGTGCAAATAGGGGCAGAAAGGTATAAAGCTATTTGCCACCACCACCAACTATCCACCCACCAGAGATCCAAGCCTCTCCATGGCTGCCATGACTGCCGGATCCTCCTCGTCCTCGTATCCAACCTGATAGTTTAAAAAAGATGAGGGGAGAGCAGCATCGATGGAAAGAGTAAGAGAGTGTAAACAACAAATGTTTCCACGTTTGGTGAGATGGATGCATGCTTGCTACGGGAAAGAGAGCCGGGAAGGGTGGGACGCATTTACCTGGAGTATTCTTGCACCATGCACGGCCCACAATGCTCGTCTGCCAGCCTCCTGTGAACACATGCAGAGTCAATCGTGCGCATACACACAAGAATAACACAAAGTCAAAGCACATGTCATTAACGTAAAAATTGCTGTACTGATGAATGGATCACAATCCACATCAGACGCAACCAGGAACAGCGCAGCGCATCGGCAGCATCGGTCCTCAGTACGGCATCGGCCACAGAGGGTGATTATGGCCACAGAGGGTGATTATGGCCACAGAGGGTGATTATGGCCACAGAGGCTAAACACTCTGGCGTGGGCATGATTCAGATTACGAGGGTAAATTGCGATCAGGAACACAGTGCATCAGCAGCAGCAGCTCTCAGCGTGGCATCTGTCACAGGGGGGCGTTCCATAGATAAAAGGTATGGCTAGCATAACACAGTGGCATACGGGTTATTGGATATACAAGGGTAAATTACCTCAGAGGCGATCAGGAACAGTGCGTCAGCAGCATCGGCTCTTAGCTTTGCATCGGTCACAGGGGGTCGTTCCATAGATAATGGTACAGCCAGCTCTGGTGGCATCTGGTCTCTATCCTCCTTGCTGTATATCTGGGATACAAGGGTGAAAGAGGAATTGTGGTAAGAAAGATGGGGGAAAGCTCGTTTGAGGAAGTCAAGAGAAGTGGTACTGCCAACTCTGGTTGCCTCTGGACTCTATCCTCCATGCTGTATATCTGGGATAAAAGGGTGGAAGAGGAATTGTGGGAGGAAAGACGGAGTAGGTCCGTATGAGGGAGTAAAGGGTGGTGGTATGGCCAGTTCTGGTGGCATCTGGCCCCTGGCCTCCTTGCTGTATGCCTGAGAAAAAAAGGAGGGGCAATGAGGGGAGGGGAGAGGGAGGGATGGACCTGTCAGAGCATAATCCGTGTGTAGTGAGTCGATTTTTGAGTCGACTCAAAAATCGACTCATTGTCAGAGCAGGGATGGCCAGAGCAGGGCAGCATGGGGCATGAGACGCATTCGCTTTGAAAGAGCACTCATCAGCCCCTCCCTTCACTCCCTCACCTCCTTCTTATCACTCACTCTTGAACTCAACCTTATGCCAGCAGGTTGATGCAAGAACGAAGGCCAGAGACGGTGCGCCAGAAGACCTTTGAGTCGACTCAAAATGACATTTGCGTCGACTCAACAGTCACCACCATCCCATTGCCCACTCTTGAGCTCACTCTTATGCCAGCAGGTGGGGGCAAAACAGAGGGCCAGTGAAGATGCGCCAGGAGACCTTTGAGTTGACTCAAAATCACTTCTGAATCGACTCAAAGCCACCGCCTTCCCATTGCCCACTCTTGAGCTCACTCTTATGCCACTAGGTGCAGGCAAGAGCGAAGGCCAGAGAAGGTGTGCCAGGAGCAGCAGAGAGGACGAGAGGGGCTCGCTCCCACATACAGGAGGTACCACGCTCTCCTCTCCCTGCATATCCCTTTCACTCACTCCCTCACCCACCTCACTTCCTCATCGCCCCTTCACTCACTCTTGTGCCAGCTAGTGGCAGCAGCAGCGACGGCCAGTGCAGGTCTGCCAGGAGAGGCAGTGAGGGCATGAGGGTAGAGCAAACCCTTTGATACAGCCCTCATGCCCTCACTGCCTCATGCAGTGAGAGCAAACCCTTTGATACATCAGGTACAACTACTACTCTCTCGCGCTCACTGGAAGATGTCCAAGGGAGAGCAAACCCTTTGATACATCAGGTACAACTACTACTCTCTCGCGCTCACTGGAAGATGTCCAAGGGAGAGCAAGCCCTTTGATACATCAGGTACAACTACTACTCTCTCGCGCTCACTGGAAGATGTCCAAGGGAGAGCAAGCCCTTTGATACATCAGGTACAACTACTACTCTCTCGCGCTCACTGGAAGATGTCCAAGGGAGAGCAAGCCCTTTGATACATCAGGTACAACTACTACTCTCTCGCGCTCACTGGAAGATGTCCAAGGGAGAGCAAGCCCTTTGATACATCAGGTACAACTACTACTCTCTCGCGCTCACTGGAAGATGTCCAAGGGAGAGCAAGCCCTTTGATACATCAGGTACAACTACTACTCTCTCGCGCTCACTGGAAGATGTCCAAGGGAGAGCAAGCCCTTTGATACATCAGGTACAACTACTACTCTCTCGCGCTCACTGGAAGATGTCCAAGGGAGAGCAAGCCCTTTGATACATCAGGTACAACTACTACTCTCTCGCGCTCACTGGAAGATGTCCAAGGGAGAGCAAGCCCTTTGATACATCAGGTACAACTACTACTCTCTCGCGCTCACTGGAAGATGTCCAAGGGAGAGCAAGCCCTTTGATACATCAGGTACAACTACTACTCTCTCGCGCTCACTGGAAGATGTCCAAGGGAGAGCAAGCCCTTTGATACATCAGGTACAACTACTACTCTCTCGCGCTCACTGGAAGATGTCCAAGGGAGAGCAAGCCCTTTGATACATCAGGTACAACTACTACTCTCTCGCGCTCACTGGAAGATGTCCAAGGGAGAGCAAGCCCTTTGATACATCAGGTACAACTACTACTCTCTCGCGCTCACTGGAAGATGTCCAAGGGAGAGCAAGCCCTTTGATACATGAGGTACAAACAACAGGGTGTTTTTGAGAATTCTCAAAAACACCCTGCAAAATCAGGTACAAACAACACTGCCCTGTCCCTTCCACTCCCGCTCAACTCACCCCTCCCCTCCCTTCATTCCCCCACCCCTCTTCACTCACTCTTGTGCCCGCGAGCAGCAGCAGCTTTTGAGGCGCCTCAAAAATCCCTTCATTCCCCCACCCCTCTTCACTCACTCTTGTGCCCGCGAGCAGCAGCAGCAGCGACGGCCAGAGCAGGTCTGCCAGAAGCAGCAGCGAGGGCATGAGTGGCTAACCCCCCCCCCCTGCTACAGCAACTACACCACTCCTCTGTCACTCGCATCCCGTCATTCCCTCGCCCCTCTTCACTCACTCTTGTGCCCGCGAGCGGCAGCAGCAGCGACGGCCAGAGCAGGTCTGCCAGAAGCGGCAGCGAGGCAAGAGAAGGACACACGACAAGAGCGCTCTTGTCTTGTGAGAGAACGCCACACCCACATTCTCTCAGAAAGGAAACCATGCACCCCCCTTCCACTCACTCTTGTGCCTGCCAAAGGCAGCAGCAGCGACGGCCAGAGCAGGTCGGCTAGGAGCAGCAGAGAAGGCAGAGCCCCTGAGCCAGCATCAAAGCAGCAATTTCTGACCGTTGCCATGGCCTGGGATAGCGGGCCGGGGAGGAGCAATGGATTGAACGAATATAGATTTTAAGCAGAAACAGGGTGCAAAAAGCAGCATCAAAGCAGCAATTTCTGACCGTTGCCATGGCCTGGGCAAACAAGGAAGCGATGGGGGCACGAGGGGTGGGATTAGAAGGTTAGGGGGGCGGAGCAAGAAGGTTCCATGATCAACGCAGCAATCTTCGTGACGCTGCCCGGGCTTGAACAGGGGAAGGGATCAACAGGGGAAGGGATCAACAGGGGAAGGGATCAACAGGGGAAGGGACAGGGGAAGGAAGGTGGAAAGAAAGAGGGCGTGGAGGGCGTGGAGGGCGTGGAGGGCGTGGAGGGCGTGGAGGGCGTGGAGGGCGTGGAGGGCGTGGAGGGCGTGGAGGGCGTGGAGGGCGTGGAGGGCGTGGAGGGCGTGGAGGGCGTGGAGGGCGTGGAGGGCGTGGAGGGCGTGGAGGGCGTGGAGGGCGTGGAGGGCGTGGAGGGCGTGGAGGGCGTGGAGGGCGTGGAGGGCGTGGAGGGCGTGGAGGGCGTGGAGGGCGTGGAGGGCGTGGAGGGCGTGGAGGGCGTGGAGGGCGTGGAGGGCGTGGAGGGCGTGGAGGGCGTGGAGGGCGTGGAGGGCGTGGAGGGCGTGGAGGGCGTGGAGGGCGTGGAGGGCGTGGAGGGGTTCCAGTCAACCTGAGCGTGTCTCTCTGGGCCAGCCAGCACAACCGATTCAGCATCGAAGCAGACGGTCTGTGATGGCAGACGATTCAATTGCCGATTCAGCATTGAATCAGACGGTCTGTGATGTTAAGTTAACACAACTCACCCCATGGCTGCGACTGCGGGTTGTATTGTATCCAACCACCCCTTCACACCACCCCCAACCCCCAACTCACCCCCTGGCTGCCTGCGCGTTCGATTTGGGGAGCATGTCTGCGGCAGGATGAGCCTCACTCAGGAGCTTCCTCTCAAGACTCGCCTCATGACTGCGCCACCAATTGTATTTTGAGTCGACTCAAAATACAGCTTCCTCTCAAGACTCACCTCATGACTGCGCCACCAAGGGGTGAGTTGGTTGTACTCCGCCACCCCTTCACTCACACCACCCTCAACAGGACCCTCCCTCTCCCCAACTCACCCCTTGGCTGCGCGTTCTATTCGAAGAGCACGTCTGTGGCAGTATTAGCCTTAGGAGCTTCTTTTCCGAGTCCAGAAGCAGCTTCCTGGCAGCTTCCAAGCGAGTCGCGTTGACTAGAATGGTAGCCACGTGCTCGTACTCGTCCTCCTGCCCCTCCTCCCTGTCAGCACTCATAGCGAATCGTCTTGTGAGGGATGCAAGCAAGGGGACGGTCCCACTGGACTGGATTCCCAGGGGGGGGGGGAGGGGGGCAGGAGGGAGAGGAGTTGGGGAAGATGGGGAGTGGTTGGGGGGATGAGTACTCGTCCTCCTGCCCTCCTCCCTGTCAGCACTCATAGCGAATCGTCTTGTGAGGGAAGCAAGGAGAGGGACAGACCCACTGGACTGGATTCCCAGGGAGGGGATTTGGCGGGAGGGAAAGGGGGAAAGTGGGCGGAAAAGAAGGGGCCCCTTTGTCTGGATGCAGGAGCAGCTGCCCGACAGCCTTTTATTCCAACCAAGTGGCATTGGCTAGAATGGTTGCCACGTGCTCGTACTCGATCTCCTGCCCCTCCTCCCTGCCTGCGCTTGTTGCAAATCGTCTCGTGACAGGGACAGGGCAGGCAAGGACAGGGACGGTCCTACTGGACTGGAATCCGGGGGGGGGGGGGGGGGGGGGGGAGGGGGGGGAAGGTGAGGAGTGCTTGAGACATGAATGCTCGTACTCGTCCTCCTGCCCCTCCTCCCTGTCAGCACTCAGAGCGAATCGTCTTGTGAGGAATGCAAGCAAGGGGACAGTCCCACTGGACTGGATTTCCCCGGGGGGAGGGTGGGGAGGAGGAGGAGGGATCTCGCATAGCACAAAAGAAATGGGTTTTTTTTTTTTTAGGCGCCTCAAAAATTGACATAGCACAAAAGAAGTGGGTAAGAAGCTTTGGGAAAGGATGGAGGGGAGAAAGGCAGAAGAATTTTGAGGCGCCTCAAAAATCTTTTTCAGGCGCCTCAAAAATCGCCTCAAAAATGGTAAGAGGCTTTGGGAAAGGATGGAGGGGAGAATGGCAGACGAAGCACAGTGGGTGGGACAAGAGTCTCACCTCGAGAAGCTTCTCAGCACCTTCGTCCAGCTGAGTCAGGCTTGCCAGCAGCATCACCATCAGACCCACGTTCTTCCCCTTCCCCCTGCGCCTCCCCCTCTCCCCTGCGCCTCCCACAATTCTCATCTCTAAAAGGTTTTTCGGCTCCTTTGTCCAATTGAATCAATTTTGCCAGGGGAATCCCCATCAGTCCCGCGTTCTTTCCCCTTCCCCCTGCACCTACCCCTTCCCCCAGCCCCCACATAACTCTCACCTCGAGAAGCTTCTCCGCTCCTTCGTCCAGTTGAGTGAGATTCGCCAGCAGCATCACCATCAAGCCCGCATTCTTCGCCTTCCCCCCTGGTCCCCCCCCAACCGCCATTCCCCCTGCTGCCTCCACGCCCCTCGCTTTAATCACTGCCCTTGCTGCCACGTCGTGCTGGGATAGGTTGACGAGTGCTTGGGCGGATGGGAGGGAAATTTCCTGAAGGGAGGAGGAAAAGAGGGGTGGGGGGGAGGGGGCGGAAAGTGGAAGCATGGTCTTTAACCACTGCCCTTGCTGCCACGTCTTGCTTTATTATTTTAGGTTCCCCTTACCATCAAATCCGCACGGCCATCCCCCCTGCTGTCTCTACCCCCCTCGTTATAATCACGGCTCCTGTTGCCACGTCGTGCTGCTGTGATAGGTTGGCCAGGGCTTGCGCGAATGGGGGGAGATTTCCTACAAGCATAGGGAGGGAGGGTAAATGCCAGTGCGCCTGGGGAGGGAATAAGGGCAAGGTGAGGATAAGCAAGAGACAACGGCACAATTCCCTCCCTGCCTGGGGAATGTCGAGGAGTGGGAAGAGGAAAGAAAAAGAGACGAAGGAGAGACGAAGGAGAGACGAAGGAGACGAGACAGAGAAGTGGGATGGGCAAGAAAGCAGGAGGGCGGCCTTGGCTGGCTGCAGGTGATTGGCTGAGAGAAGAGCGGTTGCACCTGATTGGCTGAGAGGAGCGGCTGCACCTGATTGGCTGAGAGAGGAGCGGCTGCACCTGATTGACTGAGAGAGGAGCGGCTGCACCTGATTGGCTGAGAGGAGCGGCTGCACCTGATTGGCTGAGAGAGGAGCGCCTGCACCTGATTGACTGAGAGAGGAGCGGCTGCACCTGATTGGCTGAGAGGAGCGGCTGCAGCTTTAGGAAGGGAGCTGGAGATGGGAGGCTTTGGAACCAGAGGAGGGAAAAGGCTGAGAGCAGCGGCTGCACCTTATTGGCTGAGAGCAGCGGCTGCACCTTATTGGCTGAGAGCAGCGGCTGCACCTTATTGGCTGAGAGCAGCGGCTGCACCTTATTGGCTGAGAGCAGCGGCTGCACCTTATTGGCTGAGAGCAGCGGCTGCACCTTATTGGCTGAGAGCAGCGGCTGCCACCTTATTGGCTGAGAGCAGCGGCTGCCTTATTGGCTGAGAGCAGCGGCTGCACCTTATTGGCTGAGAGCAGCGGCTGCACCTTATTGGCTGAGAGCAGCGGCTGCACCTTATTGGCTGAGAGCAGCGGCTGCACCTTATTGGCTGAGAGCAGCGGCTGCACCTTATTGGCTGAGAGCAGCGGCTGCACCTTATTGGCTGAGAGCAGCGGCTGCACCTTATTGGCTGAGAGCAGCGGCTGCACCTTATTGGCTGAGAGCAGCGGCTGCACCTTATTGGCTGAGAGCAGCGGCTGCACCTTATTGGCTGAGAGCAGCGGCTGCACCTTATTGGGCTGAGGAGCAGCGGCTGCACCTTATTGGCTGAGAGCAGCGGCTGCACCTTATTGGCTGAGAGCAGCGGCTGCACCTTATTGGCTGAGAGCAGCGGCTGCACCTTATTGGCTGAGAGCAGCGGCTGCACCTTATTGGCTGAGAGCAGCGGCTGCACCTTATTGGCTGAGAGCAGCGCGCCTTGCGCACGCTGTATTGGCTGAGAGGCAGCGGCTGCACCTTATTGGCTGAGAGCAGCGGCTGCACCTTATTGGCTGAGAGCAGCGGCTGCACCTTATTGGCTGAGAGCAGCGGGCTGCACCTTATTGGCTGAGAGCAGCGGCTTGCACCTTATTGGCTGAGAGCAGCGGCTGCACCTTATTGGCTGAGAGCAGCGGCTGCACCTTATTGGCTGAGAGCAGCGGCTGCACCTTATTGGCTGAGAGCAGCGGCCTGCACCTTATTGGCTGAGAGCAGCGGCTGCACCTTATTGGCTGAGAGCAGCGGCTGCACCTTATTGGCTGAGAGCAGCGGCTGCACCTTATTGGCTGAGAGCAGCGGCTGCACCTTATTGGCTGAGAGCAGCGGCTGCACCTTATTGGCTGAGAGCAGCGGGCTGCACCTTATTGGCTGAGAGCAGCGGCTGCCACCTTATTGGCTGAGGAGCAGCGGCTGCACCTTATTGGCTGAGAGCAGCGGCTGCACCTTATTGGCTGAGAGCAGCGGCTGCACCTTATTGGGCTTGAAGCAGCCAGCCACCTTTTGGCTGAAGCAGCCTTATTGGCTGAGAGCAGCGGCTGCACCTTATTGGCTGAGAGCAGCGGCTGCACCTTATTGGCTGAGAGCAGCGGCTGCACCTTATTGGCTGAGAGCAGCGGCTGCACCTTATTGGCTGAGAGCAGCGGCTGCACCTTATTGGCTGAGAGCAGCGGCTGCACCTTATTGGCTGAGAGCAGCGGCTGCACCTTATTGGCTGAGAGCAGCGGCTGCACCTTATTGGCTGAGAGCAGCGGCTGCACCTTATTGGCTGAGAGCAGCGGCTGCACCTTATTGGCTGAGAGCAGCGGCTGCACCTTATTGGCTGAGAGCAGCGGCTGCACCTTATTGGCTGAGAGCAGCGGCTGCACCTTATTGGCTGAGAGCAGCGGCTGCACCTTATTGGCTGAGAGCAGCGGCTGCACCTTATTGGCTGAGAGCAGCGGCTGCACCTTATTGGCTGAGAGCAGCGGCTGCACCTTATTGGCTGAGAGCAGCGGCTGCACCTTATTGGCTGAGAGCAGCGGCTGCACCTTATTGGCTGAGAGCAGCGGCTGCACCTTATTGGCTGAGAGCAGCGGCTGCACCTTATTGGCTGAGAGCAGCGGCTGCACCTTATTGGCTGAGAGCAGCGGCTGCACCTTATTGGCTGAGAGCAGCGGCTGCACCTTATTGGCTGAGAGCAGCGGCTGCACCTTATTGGCTGAGAGCAGCGGCTGCACCTTATTGGCTGAGAGCAGCGGCTGCACCTTATTGGCTGAGAGCAGCGGCTGCACCTTATTGGCTGAGAGCAGCGGCTGCACCTTATTGGCTGAGAGCAGCGGCTGCACCTTATTGGCTGAGAGCAGCGGCTGCACCTTATTGGCTGAGAGCAGCGGCTGCACCTTATTGGCTGAGAGCAGCGGCTGCACCTTATTGGCTGAGAGCAGCGGCTGCACCTTATTGGCTGAGAGCAGCGGCTGCACCTTATTGGCTGAGAGCAGCGGCTGCACCTTATTGGCTGAGAGCAGCGGCTGCACCTTATTGGCTGAGAGCAGCGGCTGCACCTTATTGGCTGAGAGCAGCGGCTGCACCTTATTGGCTGAGAGCAGCGGCTGCACCTTATTGGCTGAGAGCAGCGGCTGCACCTTATTGGCTGAGAGCAGCGGCTGCACCTTATTGGCTGAGAGCAGCGGCTGCACCTTATTGGCTGAGAGCAGCGGCTGCACCTTATTGGCTGAGAGCAGCGGCTGCACCTTATTGGCTGAGAGCAGCGGCTGCACCTTATTGGCTGAGAGCAGCGGCTGCACCTTATTGGCTGAGAGCAGCGGCTGCACCTTATTGGCTGAGAGCAGCGGCTGCACCTTATTGGCTGAGAGCAGCGGCTGCACCTTATTGGCTGAGAGCAGCGGCTGCACCTTATTGGCTGAGAGCAGCGGCTGCACCTTATTGGCTGAGAGCAGCGGCTGCACCTTATTGGCTGAGAGCAGCGGCTGCACCTTATTGGCTGAGAGCAGCGGCTGCACCTTATTGGCTGAGAGCAGCGGCTGCACCTTATTGGCTGAGAGCAGCGGCTGCACCTTATTGGCTGAGAGCAGCGGCTGCACCTTATTGGCTGAGAGCAGCGGCTGCACCTTATTGGCTGAGAGCAGCGGCTGCACCTTATTGGCTGAGAGCAGCGGCTGCACCTTATTGGCTGAGAGCAGCGGCTGCACCTTATTGGCTGAGAGCAGCGGCTGCACCTTATTGGCTGAGAGCAGCGGCTGCACCTTATTGGCTGAGAGCAGCGGCTGCACCTTATTGGCTGAGAGCAGCGGCTGCACCTTATTGGCTGAGAGCAGCGGCTGCACCTTATTGGCTGAGAGCAGCGGCTGCACCTTATTGGCTGAGAGCAGCGGCTGCACCTTATTGGCTGAGAGCAGCGGCTGCACCTTATTGGCTGAGAGCAGCGGCTGCACCTTATTGGCTGAGAGCAGCGGCTGCACCTTATTGGCTGAGAGCAGCGGCTGCACCTTATTGGCTGAGAGCAGCGGCTGCACCTTATTGGCTGAGAGCAGCGGCTGCACCTTATTGGCTGAGAGCAGCGGCTGCACCTTATTGGCTGAGAGCAGCGGCTGCACCTTATTGGCTGAGAGCAGCGGCTGCACCTTATTGGCTGAGAGCAGCGGCTGCACCTTATTGGCTGAGAGCAGCGGCTGCACCTTATTGGCTGAGAGCAGCGGCTGCACCTTATTGGCTGAGAGCAGCGGCTGCACCTTATTGGCTGAGAGCAGCGGCTGCACCTTATTGGCTGAGAGCAGCGGCTGCACCTTATTGGCTGAGAGCAGCGGCTGCACCTTATTGGCTGAGAGCAGCGGCTGCACCTTATTGGCTGAGAGCAGCGGCTGCACCTTATTGGCTGAGAGCAGCGGCTGCACCTTATTGGCTGAGAGCAGCGGCTGCACCTTATTGGCTGAGAGCAGCGGCTGCACCTTATTGGCTGAGAGCAGCGGCTGCACCTTGCGGTGCTTGGCTGGCGAGAGCGCGGGCAAGCAGCGCAGCTGCACCTTATTGGCTGAGAGCAGCGGCTGCACCTTATTGGCTGAGAGCAGCGGCTGCACCTTATTGGCTGAGAGCAGCGGCTGCACCTTATTGGCTGAGAGCAGCGGCTGCACCTTATTGGCTGAGAGCAGCGGCTGCACCTTATTGGCTGAGAGCAGCGGCTGCACCTTATTGGCTGAGAGCAGCGGCTGCACCTTATTGGCTGAGAGCAGCGGCTGCACCTTATTGGCTGAGAGCAGCGGCTGCACCTTATTGGCTGAGAGCAGCGGCTGCACCTTATTGGCTGAGAGCAGCGGCTGCACCTTATTGGCTGAGAGCAGCGGCTGCACCTTATTGGCTGAGAGCAGCGGCTGCACCTTATTGGCTGAGAGCAGCGGCTGCACCTTATTGGCTGAGAGCAGCGGCTGCACCTTATTGGCTGAGAGCAGCGGCTGCACCTTATTGGCTGAGAGCAGCGGCTGCACCTTATTGGCTGAGAGCAGCGGCTGCACCTTATTGGCTGAGAGCAGCGGCTGCACCTTATTGGCTGAGAGCAGCGGCTGCACCTTATTGGCTGAGAGCAGCGGCTGCACCTTATTGGCTGAGAGCAGCGGCTGCACCTTATTGGCTGAGAGCAGCGGCTGCACCTTATTGGCTGAGAGCAGCGGCTGCACCTTATTGGCTGAGAGCAGCGGCTGCACCTTATTGGCTGAGAGCAGCGGCTGCACCTTATTGGCTGAGAGCAGCGGCTGCACCTTATTGGCTGAGAGCAGCGGCTGCACCTTATTGGCTGAGAGCAGCGGCTGCACCTTATTGGCTGAGAGCAGCGGCTGCACCTTATTGGCTGAGAGCAGCGGCTGCACCTTATTGGCTGAGAGCAGCGGCTGCACCTTATTGGCTGAGAGCAGCGGCTGCACCTTATTGGCTGAGAGCAGCGGCTGCACCTTATTGGCTGAGAGCAGCGGCTGCACCTTATTGGCTGAGAGCAGCGGCTGCACCTTATTGGCTGAGAGCAGCGGCTGCACCTTATTGGCTGAGAGCAGCGGCTGCACCTTATTGGCTGAGAGCAGCGGCTGCACCTTATTGGCTGAGAGCAGCGGCTGCACCTTATTGGCTGAGAGCAGCGGCTGCACCTTATTGGCTGAGAGCAGCGGCTGCACCTTATTGGCTGAGAGCAGCGGCTGCACCTTATTGGCTGAGAGCAGCGGCTGCACCTGCACCTTATTGGCTGAGAGCAGCGGCTGCACCTTATTGGCTGAGAGCAGCGGCTGCACGCTTATTGGCTGAGAGCACGGCTGCACCTTATTGGCTGAGAGCAGGCGGCTGCACCTTATTGGCTGAGAGCAGCGGCTGGCACCCTTATTGGCTGAGAGCAGCGGCTGCACCTTATTGGCTGAGAGCAGCGGCTGCACCTTATTGGCTGAGAGCAGCGGCTGCACCTTATTGGCTGAGAGCAGCGGCTGCACCTTATTGGCTGAGAGCAGCAGGCTGCACCTTATTGGCTGAGAGCAGCGGCTGCACCTTATTGGCTGAGAAGCAGCGGCTGCACCTTATTGCTGAGAGCAGCGGCTGGCACCTTATTGGCGCCCCCTGAGAGCAGGCGGCTGCACCTTATTGGCTGAGAGCAGCGGCTGCACCTTATTGGCTGAGAGCAGCGGCAGCAGAGCAGCCGCGATGACGTCAGCCTCTGGTAGCAGTTTGCTAAGGCCCTCGTCTGAGCCTGTGAGGCCGGCCACTATGCCCACCGCCATGCGCTGCACCTGCCACGACCGAGAGAAGCGGGGTGGGGAGGGACGGCGGGGGTTGGGGGAGGGGGGGAGGGGGGGGAGGGTGGGTGTGGGGTGATTGCATAGCATCAGTCACACCACACTTGTCGTCTGAGCCTGTGACGCCGGCCACTATGCCCACCACCGTGCGCTGCACCCGCTAAGGAAGGCGAGAGAGGCGGAAAGAGGAAATCGCTCAACCAAGCTTGTCCTTCGAGCCTGCGAGCCCGGCCACTATGGCCACTGCCATGCGCCGCACGGGCCGTGAGATGGGTCAATCGATAAGGCAAGCGGATCGGATGGGTTCAGGGTTTGGGGCATAGATTTGTGAAGCGGGGAAACGGGAAAACTGACAGGATGCGTTGCAATGGCGACATGAAGGAAAAGGATCGTAAGGCCAATTTAGGCTTGTTTGGGGCAAAAAAGGGTGGAAAGAAGGAGTGTCCGCGGCCGAGATGGGGACTGAACGAGACCGAGAAAGGGGAGGTAGCTTCTCGGACCATAGAGGCTGGCCTTAGCGACGTAGCGTTTGCAACCCAGCGAGATCCAACCATGCAATTTATGGCCAGCCTCTGTGGTCCGTGAGCATTACAACGAGTTCGATCATCGATTAGTCAAGCTGGTTACCTCAGGTCGAGGGAGAGTAAGAAGCCGACTAGCTCTTGCACTTCAGAAGCCATGGTAATAGCTTATCTGGCGGCAGCGCGAGGCAGACCGGTCAGTCAGGGATAGTGGACCTGTTTGCGAAACGACAGTGAATGGAGGTATGTGCACGGGTGCTGGCTAGTGCTGGCTTGGAATAGTATCTTCGATGGTAAAAATATTTGCTGCTTTGCTTTGGATCACAGAATACGTTTCTCGCTGTATTTAATGGAATGTAACACATCAATGTAACAGATATCCATAACGAATAGAGAAGACGGCTGAAACGCTGAAGTGGAGGGTGGCTCTTCCTGCATAACGAAATATTTTCAACCTAATATTCCTGAGACCTTAGCTTTACTGGGATATTGTTCGACTGTTTATGCTGTCAATAGTGTGGATGGACATGACCCGACTCGGATATCTTCCGAGCAACGAAGGGAACAGCACTTAGCATTTCCTACATCACTGCCTAACCATCCTGTGTGTTATTTCTATCTGTCCGCCAAGGGTCTCCCCTCCGCCTTCCATTTCACAACCATTTAACGACTGCCAGCTGGTGCTGAATCCTTCTGTTCCTCTCGAGCTGATCTTCCGAAATGCGGTGTTACGAGCCCTCACCTCGAGAACTCCGGGGCTTCCGAAGTGGGGTTCGGAAAACCGGGCGTTTGGATGACACGAACCCGAAATTTACCCTTAATTTGGAATTGGAGGGAAAGCCGGGATAATTTTCTTTCAATCCTTGGTCGAAACTATTTGTCTCTGACTGGTGCATAGCTGAGGTGTTTGCTGATCTTTTCGTCAACCCCAAGAGCCCAACTTGATGCGCGTGACTGGCACATTCACGACTGGTGGACTCGCGAGAAGCCGATTCGAATCTACGTAATTCCCGTGATCCGTTCGCAAATTCCTTCGCATTGCTGGACAGGCCAAATATCGAGGCACCCCTAGTTCTGGAATACCAAATCATTCGGCGCGTTCTTCTAATGAGGTTCACCCTGGACTCCTCAAAAAGCAAGTGACAGCTGCTGATGTGTTACGCGTCGACATTCCAACTCGTCCACGTCAGTATAGAAGGCGCATTCTCTGGAAGCACATGTGACTCTTAGGATGCCACATCAGCAGAACTACTGACGGATCGCTCGAAGTCCCATCAAGGTTTCGAATCCCGCTCTTCCCCCTTTTCCCGCTCGTCTCATCATTCATTCCCAAGGATCTTCCTACTTCCCTCGTGTTCCTTTTGCCCCTAGTCTATTATTGTCTTGAGTTGGGGTTTATTAATTCTCTAATACAGCTTGATCGCTTGCGTGATAAGCTCTCTCCTGCAACTATCACATCTAGGTGGCTAGCCTGAGCATTTCGCTGTTTTATGAAACGCGTCAGCCGTTCCACCTGAAGTCTTTCTTCACAGCCTTTTCCCTGACACTTTTTATTGATTGGTTGGTTGGTTGGTTGGTTGGGCTCCCAAGAACAAGAACGTTCGTCCGCTAACAGTTTGGCGCATTTCACGGTGCCGTGAAATAAGGTTGATTTTAGAAACAGCCGATACAGCAGGCGCGGGCGCCGGCACGGGAGTTCTTTCTCGGCAACAATGCCCCCGCTTCTCCATCAGGCCTCGTGCCGGGCACCGATACAAGGATGAAACCTCGCGAATCCGTCGCAGTCACACTCGATACAATCACGATGGACGCAGAACGCTACTTGCCACTTCCAAGCGGAGAGCCGATGGCGCAAGCTGACTCCGAGTCGCGAGGAAACAGGCGGTTCGGGTCCGTCGGGTTTATAAGACACGAGGGCCTCGAAGCTCCCTTGCTGGAAAAAGCGAGTCGGGAGAAGGCGACTCGGACACCCTCTCCGGGAGGGATATCGAACGCGCTGCGGGCGTCGTCGGCGGCGGCGCGGGCGAAGGAGAGCGCGCCAAGGGAGCGAGAGCCGCGGAGGAGTATCGGCGGATCGATCGGCGGGGAACAGCGGGTTTATCGAGAGCGTATTTAACGGCATCAATGTCTCGCTGGTGAGTGACTCGTTGTAAGATGATAGTGTTTTCGCTCGTTGTAGGACGAAAGAATGGGTCCGAAACATGCAGTTGATAAGACGAAAGGGGGCGTCTATTATTAAGCGCCTTAGAAAAGGATTAGGGACTGGAAATGCAATACGTTGAAAGAAGCAATACTCGACCTCATAATATTCTTCGTAAAAGCAGCTTCGCAGCCTCTCCCCTCCCCTCCCCTCCCGCCCCTCCCCGCCCCGACCCCTCCCCCCACTACCCGGCCGATCTGCTGCGTCGATGCACGAGCCCCCATCCGCAACCTGACCTGCTTCTCCCCCTTCTTCCCCTTCGCCAGGCATCGGCTTCTCTCCACGCCCTACGCCACGGCGCAAGCCGGGTTGCTGGGCTGCTAGTGCTCCTCTTCTTCGCCGGGCGTGCTGCTACACCGCCATCCTGCTGCGCGCCACGCCCCTCCTTGCACCGCCATTCTGCTGCGCCGCTGCACGGACTTCAAACCGCCTTCTTAACCCGCTGTCTTGTCCCCTCTGCCTTCTCCCTTTCCCCTCCCCTGCAGCATCGGCATTCTATCGACGCCATACGCCACAGCGCAAGCCGGGTGGCTCGGCCTGCTAGTTCTCCTCTTCTTCGCCGGGGCGTGCTGCTACACCGCCATCCTGCTGCGCCGATGCATGGACTTCCAGCCACATCCGCAACCGCAAGACGCGACTTCGGACTTAGTGTCCCTTGACTGCTTCGCAGACGCCCCACCGCTTCCTCCGCACTCCGCCGCCTCCGCGCGGGCGTCCGCCCGCGCGTCCCCCCGCATCGTGCGCGCGCCGCGCCCATCCGCTCGTACCCGGACATTGGGAGGCGGCGTTCGGGCGCGCGGGGCGGTGGCTGACGGCGTTTCTGCTCTACTTCGAATTATACGCTGTGACTGTAGAGCTGCTGATTCTAGAGGGGGACAACCTCGCGCATCTGTTCCCGTCCGGCGATATTTGTCTGCTCCCGGGGAGCCTTCTGGGGGAGGGGGGCAGTGGGGGATGAGCGGTGGGGGGGTGAGTAACGGTGGAGTGTGGTTTCTGGAAGGAATAGCAAGAGGGGAGAGGAGGAGGAGTAGGAGGAGGAGGAGGGGGGCAAGGAGGAGTGTTTGGAGCAGCAGCAGCGTTGGGAGCAGCAGTTGTGAGGGGGATAGAACCAGCATTGGAAGCAGTATCACTGGCTACAGGAGCAGGGAGCTTATGCATAGAACCGAAGCAGTTCTACGTCATTCTATCCGCGTTATTAGTCCTCCCCACCGTCTGGCTAAGAGACCTCAGCCTGCTGGCGTATATCTCAGCCGGCGGTGTACTGGCGTCGCTGCTACTCGTCTTCGGCGTGGGATGGCTTAAAGAGGTTGACCATATCGGGGATATTCCAGGGGGAATCAGCAGCACTACAGAGTGGTTCAAACCCATGGGTTTACCCGCAGCGGCTGGGTTATTCGGCTTCTGCTTTTCCGGCCACGCGGTCGTTCCTAATATTTACCGATCAATGCGCAAACCGGACCATTTTACGCCGGTTATGCTTGTGAGTTTCGCGGCGTGCACTTTGCTCTATGGCGGGATGGCTCTTATGGGGTATGCCATGTTCGGCTCGGGGTCTTGTCTCAGATCACGCTTAACTTGCCGCCGGCACTTAGCGCGTCCAAGTGGGTCGTTTGGACAACTGTGGTGAATCCTTTTACCAAGTTCGCGCTTACGCTGCTGCCGATAGCGCTGGCGCTGGAGGAAACTCTCCCCACCGCCCACCCTCACTCACTCCCTCACTCAGACTCACACTCAGACTCACACTCAGACTCACACTCGCATCCTCACTCTACCCAAGAGACAAGTGGCAGCAGCAGAAGCAAAAGCAGCAGCAGAGGGGAGAACGGCATGGGAGGGCATGGCACGGGCCACGGTGCCCCGGCTGAAGGCATGCGATAAGTGCGGATGATCATGAGTCTATGCCCCTAGGAGGGGGAGGTGAAAGCATTGGCACGGAAGGTGAAAGCATGGGTATGGAGGTTGATTCCACGCCCTTGGGGGTGGACTCATGGCAGCACATAGCGTCGGCAACGGCCCTCCGCACGGCGCTAGTGGCCGGCGCGGTCACTGTAGCCCTCTCCGTCCCGTTCTTCGGCTTAGTCATGGCCTTCATCGGAAGCTTCCTCTCGCTTTCCATCTCGGTGATGCTCCCCTGCGCGTGCTATTTGCAGCTTATGGGCGGGCCGTGGAGGCAAGGGGGGAGGCTGGGGTGGGGGGAGGCGTGGGGGTGGTGGGGTTGTTTTTGGTCGGCTTGCTGGCTGCTGCTTCAGGGACGTTTTATGCCATTAGGGGGATCACAGACGAGTGGTGATGGGGGGCGTTGATGGGGTAGGGGTAGTGGATAAGGAGAGGGGTGTTGCAGAGGCTTATGGGTGGGCAGAGGAGGGCAGGGGGGAGACTGGAGAGCAGGGGGAGTGGTGGGTGAACGAGGGTTGGTTCTGATCGGTTTATTAGCTGCTTCTGAGCAATGCATGGTGTTATTGGTACGGGGCTTTTTGACAAGGGGGGGGGGGGGTTGCTTTTGGGAGGGATGAGAGGCAAAAGCTTGGGTGGGAGGGAGGTGGTGGTTGTGATGATGCTGCTGTTAACGGTGCGCTCCTGTTAATGGTTTGCGTATGGCTGCTGCTTCGAGGTGCTTTGTAGTGATGGTAGAAGGGAGGAGGGGGGGGAAGAGGAGAGACGAGGGAGAGAAGGGAGAAGGTTTGCCCGCCCGGTGGTGGCCCTGCCCAACTACCTTATGAATGTGGCTGCAAGTGGCTGCAATTTTGCCTGGCGGTTTATTGCCTCTTGCAGCTGCTGCTTGCCCTACAAGCTTTCGCAAGAAAAATGCTCTATGTATTGCTCAAGTTATAGCCCTTGCTCTGTTTTCAGCTCCCTCCAAGGCTTGAGAGGGCTGGTGATTTGCATTAGTAGCACTACCTTTCTGAAGTACTAGTGTTGCTCATTTGTTCGTTCTTTTCAACAGGCCAGTGGTTGCATGTCTGCTGGCCAGTGCCAGCGGTAGGGATTGTCCCTGATCTAGAGCTGCAGGAGGCAAATCCTGGTCTTAGCAAACCCTTTCACATCTTTATGAACCTCCAGCCTCTCCTCTGCTGTTGCAGACTTGCACCGCCTTTGCAGCACTACCACCCTGCACTCCAATGGTGGGTTTGGTTGAGCGTTCAGGGGTCACTTTTCAGCCCACTAACTCCTTAGCAGGTTCAACCATCTCCTTCACATCCACATCAACCACCTAACGAGACCTCCGTCTCCCTCACACCAACTCAGCAGCAGCACCGCCCTGCCAATTGAAGTAACTAACTACCTTTCAACACTGCCCTCCCTGTTACCGCCACCAGCGCCAAACCATGCCCCCAAATGGCGGGATCGAGTGCTCGCACCAATGTACCAACCAACTCCTTATCATTGGCCCAGCCACACTCTAAGCCGGTTGATTTTGATTGCTCAGTGGCGCCCACACAACGAATACACCAACTCCTCCCCCTTGGCATGGTGCTCAACCACAAACTACAAGCGGGTTGGTTGCTCAGCACTCGGTTTAGTGCACCAACTCCTCTGCATAGCGCCCAGCCATCTCCTTCACATCCCCATCAACCCTCATCCCTTCCTCCTCCTCCGCCTCTCGCACCAACTCAGCAGCAGCACCGCCCTGCCTCCCGCCACCAGCGCCCGGACCATGCCACGGACTATGGGTGGGTTGAGCGTCCACCCAGCACCTGCATGGTCTTCCGAACCTGCATGCAATTTGAATAGAGGAGTGGCATAATGGGGGAGTGAGCTTATGTCATGGTGGATGGAGGGATCATGCCCCTGACCATGCCCCTGACCATGCCACGGACTATGGGCGGGTGGAGCTTCCACCCCAGCACTTGCATTGTCTTCCGACCTGCAGACAAGTTGGATAGAGGGGTAGGGGGACAGGGGAGTCTGCGACAGGTGATCAGGTACTAGAGTACCCTGGCAGCATATATTAAACACCCCATTCCCAACCCAAGGCAGTGGAATGTAAACCCCACCTGAGAGCAGCTATCCATATCCCCTGCGAGCGCGTATGCCTGAAAAAGGCGCGTGTATGTCCTGGCATTGGGCTGCAGCCCCACCCGCTGCATCTCCTCGAACACCTCCGCTGCTTCTCGGACTGTGGGGGGGAAGGGGAGAGCAGCAGTTACGGTATGAATAGATGGCAGAATGCGGGGCGTGTATGTCCTGGCATTGGGCTGCAGCCCCACCCGCTGCATCTCCTCGAACACCTCTGCTGCTTCTCGCACTGCACACCAAGGTGGGATGGCGAAGAGAGCAGTCAAGAGAAGAGAATGAGAGAGTGTACGTCCTGGCGTTGGGCTGCAGCCCCACCCGCTGCATCTCCTCGAACACCTCTGCTGCTTCTCGCACTGCACACCAAGGTGGGATGGCGAAGAGAGCAGTCAAGAGAAGAGAATGAGAGAGTGTACGTCCTGGCGTTGGGCTGCAGCCCCACCCGCTGCATCTCCTCGAACACCTCTGCTGCTTCTCGCACTGCACACCAAGGTGGGATGGCGAAGAGAGCAGTCAAGAGAAGAGAATGAGAGAGTGTACGTCCTGGCGTTGGGCTGCAGCCCCACCCGCTGCATCTCCTCAAACACCTCCACTGCCTCTCGGAATGCAAGGGGGGGAAGGATTGGTGGAATGGGAAAGGGGAGGGAGGAATGGGAAAGTGTGGACAAGGAAACTGCACAACAGCCCCACTCGCAGCATCTCCTCAAATACCTCTGCTGCCTCTCGCACTGCACAGGGAGAGAGGGGTGGAGAGGTGACTTTTGAGTCGACTCAAAAGTCTCTCGCACTGCACAGCCACAGGGAGGGGTGGAGAGGTGAAAAAGGAGACGTCAGCACTGAGCCACGGCTGCAGCCCCACCCGCTGCATCTCCTCAAACACCTCCGCTGCTTCTCGGACTGTGGGGGGAGAGGGGCGATTGCGAAGAGGGAGATGAGGGCTGTGTAGGTCTCGACTCCAGGCATTATGACTAGCTCCCCGCCCCTTCCAGCTCCAGCACCAGCTTCACGGCTTGTGCGTGTGTGGCGACTACTAGCTTGCAGGCCGTAACTGAAGGACAGATGCGACGAGAGTGGGACCGACTTACCGACGTCGAGACCATGGCTGACGAAGACGGAGATGAGATGAGAGCAGTGCCTTTCTCATGAGATGAGTCGAAAGGCATGAGAGGAGATGAGAGCAGTGCCTTTCTCATGAGATGAGTCGAAAGGCATGAGAGGAGATGAGAGCAGTGCCTTTCTCATGAGATGAGTCGAAAGGCATGAGAGGAGATGAGAGAAGTGCCTTCTCATGAGATGAGTCGAAAGGCATGAGAGGAGATGAGAGCAGTGCCTTTCTCATGAGATGAGAGCAGTGCCAAAGGCATGAGAGGAGATGAGATAAGAGCAGCAGCGTAGGTCTCCACACCGGGCTGATGCCATAGGGATAGGGCTTTTGAGAATTCTTAAAAAATCTCTCGGGCAAAGGCGGGAGGGGAGACTTACCGAGACCATGGCTGGCGAAGAGGGAGATGAGAGAAGTGTATGTTTCGACTCCTGGCCTAATGCCCGCCCCTTCCAGCTCGAGAACCAGCTTCACGGCTTGTCGGCACCTCAGCTTCTCCTCCTCACTCGCCTCCCTCCCCTTCACTCTCCCTTCCTCACTGGTCGCACTACCTGTTAACTGCTCCTCCTCACTACCCTCCCCCGTCCCCCTCCCTCTCACTCTCCTTTCCTCCCCCCTCCTCATCCTCCCTTCCTCCCTCCCTCCCTCCCCTCCTTCGCCAAGCAGCAACGCTAGCTGCCTATCCATGCTGCCATGCGCTTCCACCAGTCGGGCCACGGACCGGTCGTCGGGCTTCAGCCCGGCAGCCACCATGCGTTTGAAAGCTGCCACGGCCTCGTCGGTGCGTCCGTTGAGCCCGAAGGCTGCTGACAGCGCGGTGAACGTATTGCAATCAGGGGTCAAATCTGTCTGTGACTGAGCCAGGGAAAAGAATGGGGGGTGGGTGAGGACGGGAGGGGAGGACAGGAGGGGAGGACGGAAAAGGGAAGGGAGAGTAAGGGAGAGAGAGGGAGCAATGGGCCTCTACCCGTCGGGCCATGGACCGGTCGTCGGGCTTCAGCCCGGTGGCGAGCATGCGCTGAAAGCTGCCACAGCCTCGTCCGTGCGTCCATTGAGCCCAAAGGCTGCAGAGAGGGCCGTGAACGTATTGCAGTCTGGCGTAAGGTCGATCTGCGTAAGGTCCATCTGCGACTGGGGGATGGCAGGAAGGCAGGAAGGTAGGACGGGAAGGAAGGAAGGAGTATCACGTGTTGTTTATCCATACTGTGATCGGGGAAGAGGGAGAGAGGGGGGGGGGGGGGGGGTTGTATTTTTGAGGCGCCTAAAAAATAGACTCCTTTTTTGGAGGCGCCTAAAAAATAGACTCCCTTTTTGGAGGCGCCTCAAAAATAGACCCCTTTTTGGAGGCGCCTAAAAAATAGACTCCTCACGCAAGGAAGGAGTATCACGTGTTGTCTATCCATACTGTAATGGGGGAAGAGGGAGAGGGGGGGCGGGGGGGGGTGGGGAATAGAGAGCAGTCATGTGTTGGGATGCTGCCATGGCATCGTCGGTGCGTTCATCGAGCCCAAACGCTGCTGACAGCGCTGTGAATGTGTTGCAGACAGTCAGGGGTGAGGTCCGTCTGGGAATGTAATGGGGGAAGGACGGGGAGGCAGGCGGGAAGGGAGGAAGGAAGGGAGAATGGCGAGTGACGAGGGACGGCTAGCAGGCAGGCAGCAGCGAGCATGGCGTCCAACAGCTGTCTGGCTGCCCTGCCTTCATGGCTGCCTACCTTCATGGCTGCCCTGCCTATCGAGCACAGAGTGACCAAGGAGGGCTTGCAGGGCAGCAGCGAGCATGGCGTCCAGAAGCTGCTCGGCCTTGTCCGGCTGCCGAGCGTTGCCATACACATTAACAGACGCCCCTTTACATATAGAAGCGCCGCAGACTCACCAGCACTGTGTCAAACACCCTCTGAGCGTCGTCCGGCCGGCCAGCGAGCCCATATGCTCTGATTATCGAGCACACAGTGACCAAGGAGGGCTTGCAGGCAGCAGCGAGCATGGCGACCAGCAGCTGCTCTGTCAACAAACAAGCAAACATCCACCTGCGCTCGCACTCACCAGCACTTTATCAAAGACCCTCTGGGCGTCATTTGGCCGGCCAGCAAGCCCATATGCGGTGATGATTGAACAAAGGGTCACCAATGACAGCTTGCAGGCAGCAGCAAGCATGGCGTCCAGCAGCTGCTCTGTCAACAAAGAAGCACACACGCACATGCGCTCGCACTCACCAGCACTTTATCAGACACCCTCTGGGCGTCGTCCGGCCGACCAGCAAGCCCATAGGCAGTGATGATTGAACAGAGGGTCACCAGCGACGGCTTGCAGGCAGCAGCGAGCATGGCGTCCAGCAGCTGCTCGGCTTTATCTGGTTGGCCTGCCTTGCCATAGACTGTCATCATGGTGGTGTACGCCTTGGCGTCGGGGGTAATGCCGCGTAGTCTCATTTCCTCCCATGCTGCCTCCGCCTTCTCTACCTGGTGCACATGAGAGAAAAGAGAACGGGTGGGCTGACAGGTGGATGGATCCCAGTGCACAGTGGCAATCACAACGCCTTGCCATAGACTGTCCTCATGGTGGTGTGCGCCTTGACGTCGGGGGTAATGCCGCGTAGTCTCATTTCTTCCCACGCTGCCTCCGCCTTCTCCACCTGGAACATACACCATGTAGGGGCGGCTTGACAGTTAGTTGTTTAGGTTTGACAGTAGTGCATGGTACTCAACCCTAAACCCTGAGCTATACGCTGTCA